TGTTGCTGTTGTTGTTGCTCGGCATCGCGCGGCTTGAGAAAGTCAACCGCATCCCACGGCTGCTGGTCGGTCGTACCCCAAATTATGTACACCAGGTTGCCAATGAAGAACACAATGGCCGTTAATCCGAACACAATTTGCCACTGAGTGCGAGAGCTCTGCGAAATGGATAAAGCGACGAGATATTATCAAAAACATTTGAGAGTAATTTCGATGCGAGGTAATCGACTAGAAAATACCCTAAAATCTGTTTCTTCTGCTGCTGCATAGACAGAAGCTACTCTAAATGTGAGCTAATTAAGGGTAGACGACTTTTAGACACTCTGTAATGCTTTATTACTATCCTAAGCAGAAAGAAATTTATATCCATATCCTCCGGTCATTGGCTATATCAAAAATATGCTGACAAACAATTAAATTAGTAAAAAAAAAAAAAACTATCAGGGCAGCTTGATAGAATAGTAAGAACGGATAAGCAGGCGGATAAGCAACAATGACACGGATAAACGGATAATTATAGAAACAGGCGGGCGATAAGGGAATATGCAGACATATGGAAAAATAAGCGAATAAATAGTTAAATATAATTATATGCATTAGTGTATTATAAGGCGGATATACAAAATACTGAGTGGGATAATTAGAAACTGAAGAATAAATAATCATTTGATAAGACAGAATGACAGCAGACATCCGTCTGACAGATGGATAAATGGGCGGATAGAAATACGCATAAATAGGCGGATAAACATTTTTATATTTTACAGATCAAGCCAAACCGGATAGATTCAAATATCAATATCAAGACGGCTTGGCAGTTTTACATACGAAAACAAAGTACATCGATTTCATATATGGGCGGATAGAATGACGGATAAATAGACAAATAGACAGCTGTATGTAGAGAAGGATAAACAAGTATTCATGAGATGGAATGGTATGGATATAGATAAACAGGATATATTTAGCTGGTTATATAGGATAATCAATGATATACAGATGAATCAAGGGATAAACGGATATGTGTAAGAAGAGATAGAATGATAGAGGGATGAACAAATGGAAAGACAGAACAAAAATATATCAAACACATTTGCCAGCAGCTAAATGAATAAAAGAGTAGACGGGCGGAAGGACAGTCTGACTAACAGAAAGGCTGGCTAAGCTCTATAGGAATCAACTCGATTCCCACTCAAATATATACAAATGCCATTAGTTACCCAAGCTTACACCTGCGCAATCTACCCTTTTACGAGCAAGTTATTTATTTATACTATTCCTTAGCGCCAGGCCTCAGGCTCCAACTTACCGGCTCGGTAACAATGACGCCCACCAGCAGCGGCGTCAGCAGCGGAAAGATATTGCCCACGCCATTGACGATGGCCATTAGCATGCCGGAATGATTGGGCGACATGTCGATAATGGTCAAAATGCTGCCGATGCCGGAGCCCGCATTGAGGCCGGCATTAATTGTCATCAGAGCAATGGCCAGGCCCGTTTGGCTCTTGTCAAGGAAACCGATGCCAATCAGGGCGGCCGCCGGACCCCAGTACGATATCGTGTTGATGGACTTGCGCAGCGTCGTCAGCGACAGCCACTTCCTGGCCATGATCAAATCGGCAATGGCCAAATACACATACGACATGCACCACATGGCCAGGAAGGGCAGAGCCGAATAGAGGGCGTTGCTCTTGATGTCCATCTCGAGTACGCCGTGCATGTATGCCGGCGTTTGCAGCTGCATCGTTGAGTTCGCCCAGCCCTGGGCGCTGCGCACAACGAGCAGGGCGTAGAACGGCGCCGAGGTCCAAATCGCACGCCACGGTATCGCTATCTTCTGGTCATGGAAGCCGTCGTTGCGTCTCATCGAACGCTCAATGTAATCACGCTCATCGCCGCCAATCAAACGTGAGCTGGGCGCATTATCCGCAGCGAGCAATAGCCAAAGGATGCACCAAACGCCACAGAGTCCGGCTGAAACGTACGATATGCCCGGCCAGCCCAGCGAACTCTCGGCAATCAAGCCACTAATAGCCATGGCCATAACGGAGCCACAATCGGACCCCGAATAGGCAAAGACGCCCAAACGATTGCGATCCTTGGGCGGCGACCATTTGGCCAGATGCTCGTGAATGCAGGGAAAGATTAGGCCCTGAAACAATCCGATTATCAGGCGCAGCACACTGAACGCCAGCCAGCCGCCCCAGCTAATGCAGACGGGGGTGAGGCAGCTCAGCAAAGCCGTCGCAAAGGTGGGTATGAAGAGCACCAGCTTAGCGCCATAGCGACGCACCAGGAAGCCAGCTGGAAATTGAGTCACTATGTAGCCCCAATAGAAGCTCGAGAGTATATAGGATTTTTGTGCCTCCGACCAGTCGTATTCCTGCAAGCCGAGAGAGTTAGTTAGAGTCGGTAGGTA